AATAATATTTAGAGATAAAAATTGATAAAAATAAAAAATAATATTTAGGAGACAAAAATCTGATAAAAATAAAAAATAATATTTAAAATAATATTAGGGGATACAAATATGATAAAATTCGAAAATAATATTTAAAATAATATTAAGGAGATAAAAATTTGATAAAAATTGAAAAAAATTACAAATATGACATTAGGGTTTCTTAGGGTTGCCTAGCGTTTCTTTCTTTTATATATAAGATAAGATATCTAGGAGATAAAAAATTGATGAAAATCAATAATAATATTTAAAATAATATCTAGGAGATAAATATTTGATAAAAAATCAAAAAATAATATTTAGGAGACAAAAATCTGATAAAAATCGAAAATAAAATTTAATAATAGTTAGGAGATAAAAATTTGATAAAAATCGAAAATAATATTTCAAATAATGTTAATGAGATAAAAGTTGATAAAATACGAAAATAAGAATTAGAATAATATTTAGGAGATAAAATATGATTAAAATCAAAATTATTATTTAAAATAATATTTAGGAGATAAAAATTTGATAAAAATCGAAAATAATGTTTAGGAGACAATAATCTGATAAAAAACAAAATTAATATTTAGGAGATAAAAAACTAATAAAAACGTGATAAAACTCGAAAAAAATATTTAAAATATTATTTAGGAGATATAACTTTGATAAAATTCGAAAATAATATTTAGGAGATAAAAATCTGCTAAAAGTTGAAAATTATATTTAAAATTATAGTTAGGAGATATAAAATTGATAAAATTAAAAAATATTATTTATAATAATATTTAGGAGATAAAAATTTGATAAAAATAAAAAATAATATTTAGGAGACAAAAATCTGATAAAAATAAAAAATAATATTTAAAATAATATTTAGGGGATACAAATATGATAAAATTCGAAAATAATATTTAAAATAATATTAAGGAGATAAAAATTTGATAAAAATTGAAAAAAATTACAAATATGACATTAGGGTTTCTTAGGGTTGCCTAGCGTTTCTTTCTTTTATATATAAGATTAGAATAATTTCCACTTCCCATTTTTTTTAGGGCAAATCACGGCCAACCCTGAAGTAAGGTATAATTACGAAAAAAACCCCTCTTGTTTCCATAACTACAACCACCCATCAACTATGTATTGTCTTAAACGTTCACCCTTACAACATCAAATTTACCTAGAAATGTTCATCCGGTCGGTAAATCGATCGAAATGAACCGAACGAAAATTCGTACATCCGATTACCAAACCATATATATTAGTATTTACACTAAAGGATTAAAAAAAAAAGTCAAATTTTTTATATTTTTAATAAATTTTTTTTAATTCTGTTATTTATCGAACTAAACGCTAAACGATATAAAATTTGGACGTACCACAATTTTTGTACAATTTTCCTGAATGAACCCTCATAAATTTATCAGCTGGAGGGATTCTTCTTATGATAATACATAGTTGAGAGGAATTATACAAATATGAAGGTTTTTCTCGTAATACGACCTTACCACACGGTGGTCGTAATTTTCCCTTTTTTTTCTTAATTCCAGTTTGACTTTTTTCAAAAGGTGTTAATTAAATCCATCTCGCCACGAGGTCGGAATCGGACACCAACACGATCTCCGCCGCCATAGTCGACTTCCAGATGAGCTGGACCA